CTTAACAATGATGAAGTCCCCGGTAGCCTGCTGAGTCTGGCATCTTAATTTGAGCTGAAAACAAAGTAACAGAAATCCATGTTTTGAAAGCTTCCACTTCTCACAGACTAATCATCTATCCAGTGAGAGATTTGTCTATAAATGTATGATTCATGGCAGATTAATTTCTCTAGAAAAATGTGTGGTTCCCTCTCACACAGGTGAATGCACTTCACTCTGAGGATCGACTCGCTAAAAGGCTAGTTATTGGAGTAGATGGAAAGATTGAATCACAAACAAGTGCACTGAGTTCAATCAAAAACAGAGACTGGGTTTGTTTGAAAAGGACAGAGAAATATAAAACTCACCAAGAAGAATCCCACTGCAGTGTCACTACAGTGGAAGTCTGAATCAGGTTTTGTTGGACACAAGCCAATCCATAATGACTATCCAACCTAAGATTGAAGACTAGTTGGAATCAAACCAGAACCCTTCTGCATGGCAGAGACGAACCCTACCGCTGCACCACTGTCGTCCTTTTTTATTTAGATAAACAAAACAGAACTGAAAGATCAGTCATTTCAAAGACACTGTAGTATATTTAATGTGCCACACACCACAGCTGTGCCACTCACACTGTCATGTTTGTATTATTAATACAGGCTAAAGAACAGGAGCACATCAAAAGAATGATGTACTGTAACTGCTTTGTTTTCCTTGAAACAGGAATGACAATGGCATGTTTGTAAATTCGAACACAGAATTATCCACCGTCCTCACATTGGAGTGCAGCGCTGGTGTGTACAGTACAAGTCCCACATGACAAACACTGGCTCCGACTCACTGAAAAATAAAATAAAATAAAATCATCAGCATATAAAAAAGACCAGGTTGTTGTCGGAAACAAACGCAGAAGCTGGGATAGATAAAAAGAGAAGTATGGAAGAGGAAGGCGACGTGAAATGAGCAGCAGATGTTAAAAAGAAAAGCTGAACCAGAGAGGGAAATTAATATACATGCAGTATCTGCAGAACCTGATGAAATTATCATCACAGCAAGGTGACTTTGTACACATCTGGGCTACCATGCTGCATAAAACATAAGATCCAACCTTGGGGCACTTGGTAAAAAGCCACACTTTCTGTCTTTGTCCAAGTGCTTCTGGTTTGGTAAATTTAGAGTTGTTGTTTTAAAAGTGAAACCAGGGAGCACGTGAAACCGCCCTGAGGCAGAACGTCAGGACAAGTCGCCTCACTCAGGGCTTACAACAGTTACACATCTGATCAAATTGGTTGCCCTCTCCATCAGGCAACATCATAACACCAATGCATTGCGTTTACACACCTCCACACACCTATCACACCCCTCTTCCTTCGTTCATTCCACCGGTCAGGGGGGAGAGGTTGGCCACATAATTTGCATTCATTAGCATTACATTAGCAGACAGGGGGATCTTTAGAAAGCAGGCTGCTGGAGAGTGCCATCTTTAATTCATCATAACCTCAGCACCTTCACTCTCTCCTTACCTTCACCATCCACCACCTCCCCTCTTCCTCTCCCATTG